TTTAACAAGGCACCCACGAGGACCACTATCCGGAGTACTAGTGCCCAGGGCGCCGCCCACCCAGGCGCTCACGACTGGGTGGAAACAAACCGAACCCAGTTCAGCTCCTTCGAGGCTCTTGCAGGCTTCACCTCCCTGAACTTTGGGGGTTCCTGCCGCCTCTGGGCGCGGTTCGATAGGCAGCCAAGTTCCTCGCTAGGCCCCAAGTGCTAATTGGGGCTCCGTATTGCTCTCACTCAGATCCTCTCCCTAGGCACCCAGAGGCGACCCTGGACGAATTGGTCTTTATACCGCTCCCCTGTAGCCTCTACTCCCAGTCTATACGGAGGCACGGGTAAGCCTTGCCGCTTTGTTGGTTCCACTCTCGCGAACCTCACATTCGACCGTGTCTTATTTCAGCTCGACTCAATTTTTCTCCTGTCCCTCTCTCTTCCTTTACCTCTATTCGCCTGTTAGGGAGTGTATTCTTTTTGACGGATCTCGAACTTCTTTGCCTTTTCTCATGCTCTCTGTCGCCTGCTTGCTGCGCGTCTATTCCAGTAGCTTAATCGCATCCCGCCTATCTCGTCGTGTCTGAGACACCTCGAACCGCCACCTCCACCAAAGACCGCTGCCTTGCACCTTTGCTTCATCCGTTGCTTCGCTGAAGCGCGTCCTCGACATTCCTTTTTCCCACCCTCATTCATCGTTGCCCTTGGGCTGGATCCAATCGGCTCCTGTACACACTGTAAATCCAATGATCTGTTAGATCTGTCTGTGTGACCATCTCGACTGCTTCCTCCACTCACTTCTTCGACTTCCGCCGTCAATTCGTCATCGTCAGGGCGCTTTGTCGTACACCACCTCCGAGGCGGGTTTACAAAAGGTCGCCATGGCCAGCAACATTATCGGCAACAGGAATAGCACCCCGGAGGCGTCCAAAACCTCACTTCGCCCACCCACCTCCAGGACCATCGGCACATCCGGGTCTCATACCCAACCTGTCCGTTCTTCTGCCGACATGTCTTTTGCCTCTCCCCTCTCGGCACGTACCATGCGCCCCGCTTCCGAAGTCTTATACAACCAACAGTCTCAGCAAGGTAGCATGGATGATTCGAGCAAGTTGGGGGAACAATGGATTCAAGACATTGAACAATATGAAACCATGCTAGAAGAGATGGCTGCTGCGACATTGGATCAGGACTTCAAAGACGAGTTGAGTGCCATCGAGCAATGGTTTCGAGTCCTGAGCGAGGCTGAACGCACGGCTGCCACCTATGCTCTGATTCAACAGACCACCCAAATGCAGCAACGATTCTTTGCTCAGGTTTTGAACCAGATGTCCAAAAGCCATCCTATTTCCGGCGTTCTCTCACCTGCAAATTTCGGAGAAAAAGATGCTATGTCCAGCCGCCTCAGCGATGCCATGTCCAAGTTGAATGTGGATGACCGGAGGACGTCTCTAACTCGACCACCAGTCTCCCCTGCCGGTAATAAGCGTAATTCAGGCTTGGACCAGTCCACAATCCACGCAATGTTTCCTGACGCTGTCGCCGCAATCCAGCAGCAAAAGGCCGAGTACGCCCAACAAACAGGCAACCCGCCGCCATCAAACAGGAACAGCACGGTCGTAGGAGATCGCAGCTCATTAGTGGCCCCAACCATAGCGGCTCCGAGAGAGTCCAAGACGGATGCCATGAGTTGGCGTCAGGGCGGTGGAGATGGCCAGCAGCCTCCCATATCCAGACCCAAATCCTCATCTGGCCAACAGGGCCAGCATCAGCCGATGGGTCAGTTCAGTCAACCCCCGTCGTCTGGTGCTCTTCGCTCTCCGCGTCCATTGGGAGCTTCCGGCGGCAACATTCAAAGCACCACTTTGACTGCTCCGGACCCGGTATCGAGTGAGATGCCACTTCTGTCTCCTTACAACGTAGGGAACCAGAGTTGGGCGTCAATGACCAATACGCCAATGGTCCCAAACTTCAGCCAAGCTCAGTCTCATAGCGAAATGGTGGCAAATGCAACTGCCATGAAGCTCGCTGCCCTGTCCACCGTCAACAACAGAATTGCTTTGGACGATGTCAAGAAGTACCGCCGTGCCAGATCTAATGAACCACAGCCACCGACGCAGCCACCGTTGACACCTGGAATTACAGCTTCTGGCATTCCGGGTATCAATACTATCATGGTGAATGATCACGGACAAATCCTCAACGCTCAACAAGTAGCAGCAATTCAAGCACAACAGATTGCTGCAGCACAAGGACGCCGATCTCGGCCCAATTCTCCCGGCCTCCCCTTACCGACTCCTCTTGGACAAACAGCTTTCTCATCTCCTCAACATAACGGATTCCTGGCTGCATATGAGGGAGCGCCGATCATGATCGGTGCAGGGATGCCAGGGCTAGTTCCCCAGACGGGCCTATTCAGTGCGGGTGGTGAAGGGTATCTGTCTGACCATTCTGAGATCAATCGGGGCCGGTCGCCTAGAGGGCGCCGCGGGAGCTCAAAACCTCCCGAAGACCCGACCGACCCTAATTTGCTGAAAGATATCCCGACATGGCTTCGGTCATTGAGATTACACAAATATACCGACAATCTGAAAGATCTCAAATGGGAGGAATTAATACAGCTCGATGACAAAGGGCTGGAGGCCCGTGGTGTGAATGCTTTGGGTGCGCGAAATAAGATGCTCAAGGTGAGTTAAGAAGATGTCGAGCCTAGGCAATGATCGCTCACGTCTTTCAGGTATTTGAGCAAGTCAAAGAAGCTCAGGCGGAAGGCAAGCTGTAGAATAGCAGTTTCCTTCTGGCCGCAGAGATCCTCATGTATTGTCCGATTGAGGTGCCGCTATCCTTTTTCGACCATTCAAACATTTGACACATGGGCGCTTGGATCAAATTTAAGCATGACAGGTACGGAGCGCCGAGGGAAGATTGGAGCTAGGCTTATGATCTAAATCACCCCCAGTGTCAGCCTTGTCATGCTGTGAGCTGGCACTCTGGACGGAATGGAGATCTCTCAGTGCGGCTGCTGATGTTGCCGACACAACCACAAGCCCGATGGAACCATGTTCTCTACCCTTGGTCGGGACAGGACAAGAAGGTCCCTAGTAAATTTCAGCACTTGGCGACGAAGATTGACCAGCGATGGCATGATGACTCGACGTTTTTCTATATAGCGTGACGAGATAACCCATATCACATACGAATCTTCTATGTGAACATCCGAACCGGACCAAAATGATTGGACACACTTGATATTGTAACGGGTTGAGGGGTTTCGAGGCTCAGTATGATAACCCGGGGCGGGAAATAATTAGAAGGAAAAGTCGCAACTCTGTTGAACACATTCTGCGTGCCTTTAGTAGATGGAGCGGGGACCCACCGCAGCCAAGCAGTTTTGGCTTCAATAATCGCAACTTGAAATCTACAAGCACATGGACGAATTTCGCCAACATCCATCACGGCAGATTCTCTTGCTTCTGCGCCTGGTCGACCCGCTCGGCTACACACATCCCATCCCTTCAGAGAGTACAGGATTCATTGCACTTCGCCATGGCTCCCTCACCGCAAGAGCTTTCTCTACTCCTTGACCCACTGGTCCCTGAGTCTCTCACTCACAACACTCGCGTACGTATTCCCTCTCTGCTTCCCATATTCTGACCATTTACTTACCGCATTCTATACTGTAGACGCTCTCCAATATTCGCTCCATCTCCGGTCTTCTTCTCGGCATTGCGGCCGGCATTCTGGGCCTCGAATCTCTCTATGGGTTCGCCTTCTACCTCTTCGCCAACACCCTCATCTCCGCACTGTTCTATTTCCTTCTGGCAAGGGGTGCACCCCAGAAATATTTTGCGGGAACTGCTGGGTCGAGGGGCTTAAATGAAAATGGCAAAAAGGGCAGGAATGAGGGCATAGGCGCGTGGAGGGAGATATGGCTCGGAGGCGGATTGTTTACAGAGGCATTGAGTGGGTTTGTGCTTGGGTGGGCGGGGGTTGGAGGTGTTATAAGATAAATGGCATGATAGGGAAATATCTCTCAGGAGGAATTCACGATGAAGATGTCATGAAAAAATTGAAGCTGGGGCCCGAGGTGATGATGTCGGACGAAGGACACGACGGTCTTCATGGTTGATGCAGGAACTCCGACACACGGCCAGCATTCTCGCTGAAGCTTGCAAGCAGACTTCTCAGGGTATTTCTTCGTCCCCTCGACGAGGTACGGCGGTCCTTGGTCTCTTAACATTCACGGATGAGCCGACTGCCATGCTGCAACAAACAGACACCGTCCGAAGACTTCATGGCCCGGAAATTCTCAAAGAGAGCTTGATAGAGGGTCTCTTTCATCGACATGATCAAGCAGGCCTGCGACTTGAGAACCGAGTATGACTGCCCGTTCGAATGGGCCATATCCCGACCATCATTGGGACGTAGTGAGACAAGGCTTGGACTGGGCCTTGCGGTCACCACCACCGCCAGACCTACGAGTTACAGCTCCACAAGTTAGCCCGCACTAGCCGCACTACAGAGTATAACTAGGCCGCTGCTTCAGCCTCAAGATACATCTTCAACTTATCAACGTCTCAACGCAAACCAACCACCTCGCTTTGAATGCCAGCCTTCCCAGCAGACGCCTTTTCGTATCTTGGCCTTTGGCTTACTTGAGCTGCATGTCCTTATGCTACTGAGTCGCCCTTGAAAGTTTATAATCTATTGGGCCTTTATCATCTTGGGTGTAACCCCCAACCTTTGCCGTCTGAGATACATCTGCCGTTGCCTTTGCGACACATATAACGACAGTTCTGAACAGTGAGTCTCGCCTGGGGTGAAGCAGATGTTGCCGCTCCCGTGGTGCCCAAAAGCTGGCTTATCTCCTGTGCCTGCTCAAGCATCGACCTCGTGCCACACTTTACAAGCTCGGCTAAGAAGAGAAAGCCTGGCCAGATATCCCGAATATACCGATTTTCGCCGCAGCAGACGGTTCACAGCTCCTCGGAATGCTCTCTGTGTCGCCTGATGGCCAGCAGCTTATCCACGGACGAGCCAACTCCAGTCAACTTTCTGACCCTATACAAATCGGGGGGGTCAAGAGACTCAGCTGGGAAAGTCATTGATGTTACGTGCATTGAAGTCGAGAATCCCGGTGCTCTACGCTTTCTACCGCTGGGTGATGATGCTCAGGTAATTGGTAGACAAGCCACCAACTATGCAAGACCTCTGAACCCTCTGAAAGCAAGTCGCGAGCTGATGCGAAATTGGCTGCACACCTGCGAGCTTGATCATCATGCCTGCAAGAGCGCCGACTCGAGAATTAGGAGTCGCGGCAAAGGCCCAAAAAGGCTCGTCAACGTCCGGACCATGTGCGTCGAAGACGTACCATCTTCAGTGGAAGCCCGGTATTTTGCGCTGTCCTATGTCTGGGGGAACGCGTCTCGGCGCCGGCTTTCGGGCGAGGAAACCAAAGTCAAAAGCGACGGCAAGGCCTTGTCGGCTCATCGCGTTGTTCGTGACGCCATGGAACTCACTAGAGAATTCAACGAGACGTATTTGTGGGTAGACAGCTTCTGCGTCCGTCAGGAGGATGCTCACGAACGCGCTTCCGAGATTGCCCAAATGAACAACGTCTACTACTGAATCGACCGACTCGACCAGCCCCCGAAGCTCCAGAGAAAGGTATAGTCCAGAAGAAATACGACGAGAAACCGGTGCTGGAGTTCGAAACCTCGCTCGCCACCGTCATCGCCGTCGTGCCTCGAAGGAGTAGGAGCGACCTCAGGATCACAACGCCAGACGGAGAACGGATCGGGACGCTACACTCGGCGGCGTTCGTGTCGAGCTTTGACCTGGCGACGGGTGAGATCGAGCTTGGCTGCACATGTATACTGGTTGGGACAAGCCACCGACCGTTTTTCTAGCGAGTGACGATCCTGTTCCCACGAGCGCGGCCGCGACGACCACCGCACGGCTGCCAAATGCGCGCAACTTCTTCCTCGACGGACCCGGTTCTGTCCCGTCGCGCAAGATGGCCGGTGTTCTGGACATTGCGCAGCTGCGAACCATCGGGCCTCTGATCCCACAGGAACATGGCCGCCTGTGGCATGCGGCGTGGGCCGTGGCGTTCATGCCGGTCGGGCTGGTGGTGCTGGCCATGGTGGCCGCGTAGTACGCGCTGAACTTTGCGTGCGTGGTCGCCATGTGGCCGCTGATCCTGCTGCTGGGCCCTGGCGCTCCTCCACCCGGTTATGTACGCGCTAGGCTTCGACCGGGTCGCGCATGTCATCTGGATCGAGCACTCGGCCGGGGCCTCTACGAGCGCCGCGGCGTTCGGCGAGGTGCGGCACAGGGCGTTCATGCGGCCGAAGCCCGAGGTCACAACGGTCAAGTTAGTCTAGACAAATTCACTACAAATACATTTATGCTTCATTTACATAACGATTCTACTCCCACGGCCCGGGTTCATTTGGTAGGTATTTCCCACAATGCAAACGTCGTATAGCACTAGTACTACTGTACCACTACGCGCCGCAAGCGTTACGGGATATCGAATCCGTATAGAGTATGCGAGTATGGAAATACAGAAGCAGAGAGCACCGAAGGATGCAATCCACACGCGCATAATTCCCCTCATCCCTGACCACAACATGTCAATATCAATAATACAGAAATATTATTCCCTTTCCTTCCTATCCTTTGCTTTCCTCCCATTTCCCTCATCTTGAACAGAAAGGAAGGTAGGAAGGAGGCAAAGTTCACGGTCCTCAGCCTCGCCCGCCAACCAAGGACTCCTCTATATGCATAGCTATCGCGAGAAAGATAGGTGAACTGGGTCCGTACATACGTGTGTGCTGTTCCAGAAAAAAGAGCATGTGGGGCATGCATATAGAAGAAACGATCAAAACGACGAGGAATAAAAAATCCAGCACCGGAAAACAGAACCTAAATTACTACGTACATACCGCACGAAGCATGATATGAAAATGTACCGCAAAGGTCTGAATCACACCACCAACCGATATAGAAGCCGTTGAAGAGCATCATCTCTTCTGCTCTGCATCACAAGCCAAAACAATCGATCCCAGCCGCCTCTTGTTGACCGAATGGGGTCAAAGCAATTTCAGCACCCGTTTGCGAAACGTATGGCAACCTCGTAGTCCCATCCAAGACACGCAACTCCGATTCCTTACCATTAGTCACCTATGCGAAGCTGGACAATAATCCATCCTTCCACCGCTCGTGCCTAATTCACCCAATCAACACCCTAAGCTCCTCCAACCCCAACATTTCTCGATCCTAGAGTCCATTCGAGTACACCTTCATGTGGTTGAAAGACCATGTCGGTCGTACGTCCATATCCACCCCATCTGCACCATGCCATTTTTGGGTCCACTTAGTCAAGGCTCGTAGATCCCCAAAACCCAAAGCTATGGAGCATTCCCAAGCCCGTTGGATTTGATCAATTCATACAGCACTGGTGCTGCAGCATCTTCGGCCCAAGTTGATCTGACCCTTTCATTTCAGAAAGATTTGCTCTGGTGGTTACCATCTCCCCCTTCGCAGGATTCGTCCAGTCAATGACCGCCGAGGTTCTAGCCGGGAATTCTCCTTTTCGGTCTTCTCATCCTTGCCGTCTTTGTCTTCTTTTTCTTTTTCATCATTCTCGTTGTTCCCAGGTTTACGGAGTTCCCCATCAACCTCCAAGGATTTCCTGGCACCGCTGAATCGTCGACTCGGTCGTCGTGCGCTGCTGGGAGTAGTAGCAGTCAGAGATCTTGTCGTGATTGTCGGAGATTGAATGTTGGATCGTCGGGCACTTGATGTGCTAGCATCCTTTGCGGCATTCCCATCTACCTCACTTGTCTCGGATCGTTCTCCAGCCGAATCCGCCATCCGTGTCAGCTTTTCAGCTGACGCTGCATTCTTATCGCTATTAGTGGCACCATTTACCCTGCTCTCATTTGGCTTTCCGTGGTTGTCCTCCGTGGTTCCGGTCATTTCGATATCATGATCATTTGCTTGTGGCTTAGAAGGCTCTTCAGTCGCCGTCTGCCCGTCTTGCTTTTCCTCTTCGCTCTTGACCTCGGCTGGCTGTGGTTGGGCTGAAGAAACCGATGGCTCAGGCTCAGGCTCGTCTGGTGGAGCGGAGGATTGCTGGTTGGGAGTATTTTTCACGGCTTCACTGACTGTAATTGTGTCTCTGGATTGCGGCCTCAGGGGGGCAACCTTGACAGTTGATGGAGGGGTAGGTGGCGACCCCGTGGTGGAAAGGCCTGGTTGAGAACCCAAGGCTTGTTCGCCACTCGAAGGTTCAGTCGAGCTGAAGTCACCCTGCAAACTTTTAGGTTCTGGTTCAACGCTCGCCGGGGTCGACAACGGCGCATTTACTCCCGGCCAGCCGGGTCGGCTAGCCGTATAGGTATTCGCCGGCGAGCTAGATGCCGTCTGAGGCGCGGATTGTCTTCCGGTTTCATTGTTCGAGGCACGGGATTGTAGGCCATTTATCTTGGCTAAGTCTGGACTCCTTTTGACAGCATCAGACATGGTAGGACTGTCGTCGGTCGTAGCCGGACTTGGTCTATAGCCAGCGGGTCTCGCCTCGGGATCGACGCCAAAAGAGCCTGGTGTGCCGACTCTCCCAAAACTCTGGACCTTGGTCTTCAGCTTCATCTTCAAGTTCTTGGGGTCTGCCATTGTTCCCGCTGTTCCTCTACCATGATGGAATTCGAAATCTTCGACCTCTTTGACCGGAACACCGTATTTCTCCAGTGCCTTATCGAGACTACCGATGGTGCCCTTCGGCTGATCATGATTCTTAACAATGTGGCATTGCAGACCATGGACAGTGCGCCAATCGATACGTGAACACCCATCGTGGTTGCAGCGAAGGTACATCTCGACTGCGGGTCCTGTCGGATGATCTGCCGTCCCTCCCGGACCATACGAGGTCCAGATACCGCGGTTCAGGGTATCAACTCTTTCGCAGTGATGGTGTCGGTTTGCAAATGCCTCTGACATCTGATATGGATGGGTCGTTGAGGGTGTGCGTTTAGCACCGCCCCCCGTTTGTCCCGTCGAGTTGGAAGTATTCGGTGCACCTGGGTAAGAGTGGAAGTGATTCGGTTCGACCGGATGACTGGATGTCTTGTTATCCACATCGTTGGGAGGCCTAGACAAGGGGATGTGTGAGGCCGGCGGAGTTGCGTTTGTTCTCGCGTTGATGGTCGCAAATCCAGATGTTGATGGCGCATTGATGGAAGCAAATCCCGAAGACGTGGCGGGCGGTGGTGGACGGGTATCATATATCTGTCTTGGGGGATTGGGGTTTGTTGCCGGTGTCACCGGTGACTGAGTACTTGGGACGGGTCGCGCAAGAGGAGAACCTGGCCGTCCTAGATGGTTAAGATGCGACCGATCGGCAGATGGTTGGGGGCCATGACCTGATCCGTTAGTCGTTATCGTCGGGGAAGCATTGCTTGGTGTGGTCGAGTAGGATGAATGATGATATGGCCGCGGGTACGATGAAGGGGAGTCGCGATAGAAAGAATAGGAGGGAGCAGGCAGAGTGCCTTTCGCAGGAGCTGCTAGACCTGATTGCGGTGAAGGTCTCGACTGGGCTGGATTGATGGCATCAGGTTGACCAGGGGGACCAACCTGGTGACGTTTGGGGGGCGGAGGGAGTGTTGAAAGTGCAGGTCCCGGCGGTGACATTGACGATGAGGATATGCTACGGCCTCCCGCCATTGGCGAGTCATCTGCTGGTAACCCACGTTTAAGTCGCTTCAGCCGGCGTCGGAGATTCTGGGACAAGTCAGCTCGACCGACCCCTCGCAAACGACAAGTCGCAACCTACACTTTCTTCATCCTCGAGGTCATGATCAAACTGGTTAAAGGCCATATCTTCCCTCCTTCGACGCGCCTCGATTCTGGCGTCTCTGCGCTGACGAGCTTCCATAATGAGGGCCCATTTCCTGTCTTGGGTTTCCCGTTTGCGACGTATCTTGTCGTCTTTGCGAGCGCGCTTGGCTCTGAGCAGTTCGAATTTCTTGACGTTGTGGTCCTCAACGCGCTGCAGTTCGTCGAGACGTGCCTGGACGGCATCAGAAGACTCCAGGGCGTGTTTTGATGCTGGCGCTGGCAAAGGGATTGGTGCAGTCAACGGGCCGGTGAATCGATAGTCATCGCCTCTATCAACAGAGACGTCGCTGTCGGAGGATTCGGGGTCCATTGGGTCCGGGATAGTTGGTGAACGTTGAGGTGGCTGCGGGAAATTTCGAGGATGTTGCTGATACGGCGACTCCCACGACGAGCGCGGACGCTAGAGGCCAGAGATTAGTAACAAGATCATTATGAAACATGAGTGAGTTTACAGTTTGACGAATTAACAAGTGCCAGCGACAAGAACATTCACACCACTTCTCTTGAGGGAAAGGGAATGATGGTGAAGTGGGCGTCCACCACTCAGTACCGGGTACGGGGAGGATGTTTGGGGCAGGGGAAAGCCACCAATCCCCATCAAGTCACATCAGGTAAGTGAAAAGTGTGTGTGTGTTTTTTCCCCTCCCTTCTCAACCCGGTAAAACGTGGTTATTGATTGTAAAGGGAGTAGACGAGAGTGGCTGAAAAGGGTTAAGAGACTGGTGCAATAGGTGCAAGAATGGTACTGGGGCGCTAAGCAGAGATAGGAAAGACGCCAACACAAGTGGTGCAGCTGGATAACACCAAATAGGAGTGAAGGTGTTTTGGAAATAGATGGCGATTGGTGAGAGGCGAGAAGGAGGGGCCGAAGCGGACTGGGATGAGTCGAAGACCTAAAAAAGATCGGCCAGGTATTGAAGCAAGACGCCAAGAGAACCAGGAGCCCAAGGAGATGCTGGTGGAGGCAGTAGAAGGCATTCGATTCCTGTTGGAGAGCAGCCCAGAAGCCCGCTGGCTAAAGGTGGCTAGAGCCTAGAGGCCCCAGGAGATGGCCCCTAAGGAGCCTCTAGAACCCGCCGGGCCAACAAAACACAGCCAACAGGTAACCCTTGCCACAATCACCACGCGGGCAAGCGAGCGCAAGTGGCAGCATATCGTCACTGGATTCACAATGTCGGTTCCTCTGCATTTCCAGGGCCTGGTGGCGTTTTTTTTCTCTCTTGTGGTCACTCTCGGTAGTTTGACAGAGAG